GGTGCTACTGCATATAAGCAGTGCGTACTGGCGGTGCTACCGCTGGTGCATTGTTTTCCTCAAGTTATCGCTATTTGTTTTCTTTGTTTAGCATTATTACTTTTCTTTTGAGACGTAGCAAGCAATTACTCTTGCTTCCTTTTCTTTTGAGACAAGCAAGATCACAATCATTATGTGGTACTAACACTCATTTGCATAAATATCATATTAATTCATTTCGAAGTTCTACTTTCATAAATAGAAGGAGGAAGGATTCTTATAGAAATGATCAGTCCATAAAAGATCAAATATACCAATGATCCATGAATCAAATCTCTTATTTTGTGAATTGCAAAGAGAATGAATAAAAGTTAAATGATCTCAAAAAAGAAGACTCAATTTTCAAAAGTTGAGAAATCTGAAAAATATAAAAGAGGAACTCATTGAAAAACCATGATTCATTTGGATAATTTTCCTCTTTAGTAGATGGCAAGAAGAAAAATAAGAGATCTTGATTAAAAAATATCAAGCATCAAATATCGAGAAATCAAGATTATGATTATGATAAAAACTTATCTAAATTCAAATAATCAAATCATCACTTTCAAGATATTCAAAATGATATAAATAGATTCATTAATCTCTTATTGAAAACTCAATAAGATTTTAGGGATAGAAACATTTTCAAGAATAATGCATTCCCCAGTTTGTGATTTATTTCATACAAGCATGCCTTTGTCTTTCATGCCAAATAAAAAATATGCATCATCAAAAAATAAGATTTATCACAAAAATCATCAAGATCAAATGTGTAACACATAATTCCAAAACATAAGATTTCAAATAACCATTATATCATTTAATTATCAAGCATGATTTTATTGAATATAAAACATCTTCAATTAAAATCATTTTGTTACCGATAGTTCTAATTCTAACAATCTTTCCTTTATTGTTTTGGCTAGAGAGCTTTATAAAGTATTTTGGATCTCCGGTTATAAACCTTGAGCATCCATTATCAAAATATCATTTTTGCTATTAACTTATGATAATAAACATATCTACAAGAAAGTGAGTTTTCTTTTGGGTACCCATTTTACCTTGGGTTCCTCATAAATAGATCTACTTAACTTATCATTTTGCATTGAGTTATTTAAGGTTTCTTTAGGGACCTAAATTAACTTACGTGAACTATATCTCTTAAATTGACATTTATGGGCATAATGTCCAAATTTACAATAAAAATTACATTTGTTTCGGGGTGAAACATGTAAAGTTGAGCCTTTAATAAAGATGGTTGGCTTTTGATGAGTGTTACTCACAAAGCCGATTCATCTCTTCTATGAACATGATTCCTTTTTCCAAGGATCGCGTTTAAGGATTTGCTTCATATTTCAAATTTTTCTAAGGTTTTATATAGTAGCAAGTTTTCCTTTTTAAACATCTCTAATTCTTCATATTTTGTATAAGGAGATAATATTTTATTATCATGTTTAATATTTAATCTATTGAATTCAATAAGGCATGCTCCTTTTTAATAATTTATATTTTTTACTAACTAATTTATATTTATTAAATAAATCATGAAAAGTATTTAACAATTCATCAAAAGATAAATGAGCTTCGATTGAGTTACTTACCACATCGTCAAACGCCATTAAAGCGTAGTTAGTAACTTTTTTTGTTGGTTGGCTCCTTGTCTTCGAATGTGCTTGAATCGTCCCAAGTGGAATAATTTGATGAGTTCAATTTAATCATACCATCTGATTATTCTATTTTAATCACACAAGAAAAAAAACTAGCATCAAATAACCTGTTGCTCTGAGACCGCTTGTTAGAAAAAACATATTAAAGCGAAATATTCTTTTTCCTTCTTTATGTATCAGGTTCCTCATCAAAATATCAACTTAATATCAAAAGCACATATGAACCAGAACAGTATAAACAATAGAGTAATAAATTAATCATAAAGTGAGACCAAATTTTTAACGTGAAAAACCCAATGCGGGAAAAACCACGGGATCGTAGTCCACCTTAAACTTCCACAATCAATAGTAATGATAATATGTTTACAGTAAATCTTCTCTGGAATAACTAGATGATATGAATTTAATAAAAAGATAATTTTAAGTCTCACAAAATGGATATAACCGGAAAATATCTCAGAGAGATAAACTGTAGATCAACACCATTAAGATTGTAAACCTTACTGTAAGAATTATCCGCATAAAGTTTAGACTAAAACTAACAACGTTTGATCAATTGACCATGAAGCAGAAAACTCAAAAAACCTAATTTTCTCTCTCTCTCTTTCCTTTTGTTGTGTGCCACCACAGTTCTCACTGCACGGTCGCTCACGTTCGCTGTTATCTGTTGCCCTCAATCTCGTGCTTTTTTTTTTTAATTACTGATTTAGGTTCAAAAGATCCAATTGTGGGTTGAACCCAACAATATATATTTAAAGTTAATTTATATTACCGAGACATATATCTATCTTAGCACGGTATATTCTCTATCTCATCGTTATCGGAGAGAATGTCAAACCAGCTACCGTGGTGCAAGTTTTCCCTCTGGTCGCAAACACATAAGAAGCACGCCCTTTGAACTGCTTACATGCAGCTAGCTGCGCATGGACACATTAACCGAACTTGGCAGCAGCAGACCCCCATCACCACAGTAAGAGAGCCGCATGAAAGCGAAGGTAACCGATCCAAGTTGAACAGACGCGATCACGGGAGTCTTGTCTTCCTCCCCTCGTTTTTCTCTCTCCCATTTACTCTCTCTCTCTCTCTCTCTCTCTCTCTCTCTCTGCCATTAATGGCGCCTTGCGAGGGACCTCTTCCGGCCGTTAAAGCACAGCCCCACCTCACTGTCTCTCTACCATCCAACTTGGGTTGTACGTTCATTTACCAGGGAGAGAGACTATAAAGCTCCAAAGCTTCCTCAAGTTAATTTACCCACCTTCATTCTGAGAATAACAAATGTGGTCCATTTGCACATACAAAGACATCACTGCCCTCTCATCGCCCCTTCAAAAGCCTCTCTTTGTTCTCTTATCTTTAATTTTTTCCTGCAACAATAAATGTTTAGCAATCACATACTAGGATATGATTAGATGCATCTTGTCCAATCTCTCCAGCTAACTAATCGAAGCATAGCTAAGCCTAGGAAGTCACTTGATTTGCTGAATCTGATGATGAAATGACTTGACTGTCGTATATATGGTGTAGTCCTGTTCTCTTTTCCTGATGAAGGTTGTAGGGGATGATAAGTCCCATTTGGCATAACTTTCAGCGTATGTTTCAGCTTAGACTACTAGCAGTTTTCTATGACAAGATGCTGGCATCAACGGAAATGAAGGTACAAACATTTGTTCTTTGCATGGGTGGTGTTCCTGGTTCCATGTGATGGCCAGACAAAAAGGAAACTGTGTCCTTCTGTATTGTCTTTGTTCCCTTGATCCTCATCAGATTAGATCATTTGTAGCCAAAAACAGTCTCTTTGAATCCCAATTCCATCCAGTAAAAGCCCTACAATGGGTTGCGTGATGAGATGATGAGGTGAGATGACAGCTCGACGGGTTTCAGAAGCCCCATGTCATGCACAACACATATCGATCGGAAGCAGAAGACATGGTGACAGTGATCGCCATTGAACAAAGCTGGTGACAGCGGCAGTAGAAGAGTAAAAACAGTGTCTTTTGGCCAATGGGTATTTTGGGACTTCAAACGCAGTAATAATGGCGGGCGACAGGGGGCAGTGTACCAAAGGCGAGCACGCCACGTCGCCGTTCGAACACATAAGTGTAACGTTTCCTTACCCATCGGCGTCTTCCAGATGGAGCGCGATCTCTGAAGCGGAAGAGAAAGAAGCTTGAACACAAGCTCTGTCTGACTTCTTCTCCAACTTAAGGTGGATACTGGGGGAGGGAGAAGAAAGAAGCCATGCTCTCGAGGATCCACGGCGTCGTGTGGGCTGAAGATGGAGGCGAGGAGGAGGACGCTGCGTCGTGGACGAGAGCAAACACGCCCAGCGCCAGCGGGGAAGCGATGGGCGAAAGCAAGGACGAGCTCGGCCTCCCCAGCTTCAAGTCCATGCTCGACGACGACTGGTACTTGGGTGGCGGCGCTACTTCCAACCCCGCGACGTCTACCGCCGCCCATTACCCCTTCGAAGTCTTCCAGGCGCATCGAGACGTAGCCTTTCCCTCGAACCCGAAGCCGCACGAGGCCTTGCTGCTCCCTGTCGTCGACGACCTCGATCAAAGCCAGCCCTTTTTCACCGCAAAGTCCGCCTTTGCTTCTCTCTTCGGCGCTGTTTGTTCGAATCCTTTCGACGCCGGGCTTGATCTAGGGTGCGACGCTCCGGGTTTTCTTCCGGCTCCCCAAGTGTCTAATACACGCGTCTTGATGAACAGAGGCGGCGGCGGCGGTGGGGGAGGAATCCTTGGTTTCGCTGGAATGGTGGCGGGTGAGCAACTTGGTTGTCCCGATCTGAGCTCCGGAGCTGAATTCGCCGGTAGTCGTCTGCTACTCCCATCCGAAAACTGTGATGGTTCCATCTCCGGTGTCGCCGTGGGCTCCATGGGCTTCGACAACTTCGACAATTCTCCATTTCTCAACCGGTCTAAGTTGCTGAGGCCTCTGGAGATCTTCCCTCCTGTGGGCGCGCAGCCGACTCTGTTCCAGAAACGGGCGGCGGCCGCTCTCCGCCAGAATCCAGCGGCTGCCGGCAAAAAAGGTGGCTTCTTGGGGCGATGGGGCTCGGAAGGAGCGGGACAGGGTAACGGTAGCAAGTCTGCTTTGGAAGAAGAGAACGAGAAGAAGAGGAAGGGGAACGAGGACGAGGAGATGGACGACGGAAGCGTCGACGCGTCAGGATTGAACTATGACACGGATGAAGTTGCGGTAGAGAATGCCAAGGACGAGGATAATGCCACGGGCGGTGGTGGGGGTAGCAACTCGATTGCCAACAGCACAGTGACAGCACGTGGTGGAGACCAGAAGGGGAAGAAGAAGGGCCTCCCTGCAAAGAACTTGATGGCCGAGAGGAGGAGAAGGAAGAAGCTCAATGACCGGCTTTACATGCTTAGATCTGTTGTTCCCAAGATCAGCAAGGTGAAATCTTCATCACCTACAGTTCTTTGTTAGAAGTTCTCCAATACTTTTTGACTTACTCAGTTGTGTGTATCCTGAAACCAATTCTTCAAGAGCAAATTTGCAGCCATCTTGTTTGCAATTAAGTATGTTTATGCGATCATCATTTGCTTAAAAAGGTCTTCTTTTTTCTGCTTGGTTGATGGTATCAGATGATTCCTATGGGTTGGTTCATTAGAAACTTAAACCTTTTGTTCCTTGTGATAGTTTGTGGGCTCAGTGATTATTTAGGTGATGCTTTGCTTGTTCTTTTATAATTCAGTGCCATTTTTTCTAGTAATGTTTTAGAACCTTACCCACTCCATTTTTCAGTGCAATTATTTAGCTGTTTT